AAATTCTAGAGAGAAAAAAAATGTAAAAAAAAAAAAAAAAGAGAGAAGAAAAATAAAGCTTAGAGAGAGAAAAGTATACTGTTGTTAATAGTGATGAAAATTTAGAAAATAATAGGAAACTAAAATGTAAAAAACAGAGAAGCTACTAGGAGATAATAGAGACAGAGAAAAGATTCTGAAAGAAGGGCAAGCAAAAAATTAAGGGAGGGAATAGGAATAGGATAACAGTTGAAAATTAAAAAATAAAAATACAATAAAGAGACTAAGAGAAACTAACAATTGGAACAAAAAGGCATGAAGACAGAAGGGAGGAAAACGAAATAAAAGAAGAAGAAGAACAAGAAAAAGTTATGCCAATGGATTGAGAGGAGGGGGAGAGAGAGATAAAGCCTGGGCAGTGAGGAAGTCCAATAAGAGATTTGGGGGAAACTATAGAGGAAAGCAGTAAACTTGTTGGTTATAATGATAAAGTCCCAGCAATTAAGCAGGGAATATCAAGAAAGTCTTGATAGTAGAAAGGATAAAACAAAAAAAAGCTAATAGACAAAACAGAGAAACAAAACAAAAAACAAGCTAAGTAAAACAGAATTCTTTTTAAAAAAAAAATTAATTAAAAGTTTAAAAAATATTTAAAAAATTATTATAAAATTTAAAAAGAAATAACAAGTAATTCCCCCCCCCTTTCTCTTCTTTCTAAGAGAACAAGAGAATAAAAAATAATAAACAAACAAAAAAACAAAAACAGAAAGAAATAAAAAAAGACAGTCAATCAGGTGAGTTTCCTCTGGGCAGCTTATGTTGTCTGTGGCTCACTGTTCTGTGTGCTGACTTCAGTTGTCCTGGGAGATACTTGTGTATCAGCCAATGTGAGGAGCTGTCTAGGTTTGGCTCTGGTATCTTTAGGTAGATGGCTGATCTGAGGCTCTTCGTGGATCACCTCCTCTTGTCAACTATTTTGCAACCTTGCAGTTGCCTGGTCTTATTCCAGAGTCTTCTGTAGAGTCTTTCGGGTGTAGGATGGCTAGTGTAGGTACCCTACAAGGTACCACACCCCTTACTTAGAGGTTTCACTGTCAGGCACTCACTGTGAGGGAGTTAGTCTCTGCTCCACAGACAGCTCCTGTGTCTCTAGCCTATCCTCCAATTCTAGTTCCCCATGCACTGGTCTGCTGCAGTTTCAGATTGATTTCAGCCTGTTGCCTTTTCTGTATGGGCCGTTTCAGCAGCCTGGGCCAGTGGGTTCGATTAAAAAACATTCCAGTGAGCCCTTTGCCTGCCCTGCCCCTGGCAGGGGTTTTCAGCTTTTTCTCCAGTTTCCGAACAATAGTCCCTGAGAGTCTTACTCTTGTAATGTCCTCCTATGAGCTATTCTCCCTTCCCCCTCAGGACTGTGCCCTAAGGAGGTATCTGGGGCTTCAGTGAGCTGAACCAGCCCCTTTCCTTTTGGAGGTGGTTCTACTGCCTCTTGGAGGCAGTAGAGGCCCGGGTGTTCCGCCCCTCCCTTCCCCGATCTGGTTGGCTGTTCCCACCAGGTGCCCCGTACCTCAGTCTACTATGCAGACATAAGTGCCAGCTTTTACTGGTCTGTCCGTCACCCAGTGCATACCAGGGAGATGGGAGCTAGTTCAGCGATCAACAACTCAAACACGCACAAAGCAACACAACGGCAGAGAGTCCGCCCTGTAAGGTCCTGCTGCCCGCGTGCCAAGGTGCCCCACAGAAGGGGACCCAAAGTCAGCTCCACGAAGCTCCCCTGAACTGCTGATTTCAGGTAAAGCTGGGGCGGTTCCACATGCCACCAGGGCACCCTCAGGGCTGGTCAGAAATCCCAGACTCTTCCCACCAGGAGCTCAGGGCGGGAGGCCTCTCCTCCCCTATCCCGTGCCACACAGATTAAATGCTTTTTGGGTCTCAACACACTGTCTTACTGGAGGCAGAGGGTACCCCCGTGCAGCTGCTCAGTGCAGATCTCTGGTCCCTTACTACTTGGGTGCCAGAGACTTTGGGACAACCTTTCCTATAGTCAGTACCTTGAGCATTGGATGCGGGTCGAGGCCGCCATTAGAATCTTTGTTTCGCTAGGAAGGTGCCATCCTCTGCTCGTGGGCACACCACTCCACTGGGTCCCTCTGCCCTCTGAGTGGGGCACTCCTTCCCCTCTCCTCCACTCCGGGTGTGAGATCCTCGCTTTTGGATGCCAGTGTGAACTCCTGAGAGGAGGGAACTTTGCAGCCTCCAAGCCTCAGGGCTCGGAGCCCAGCGCTGGCTTCAGGGGTATTCCCCCTTTCTACGATCCCCTCTTTCTTACCAGACTCTGATGTTTCTTCTTTGTTCCCAACTTGCAATATGTCCACTCAGGTATGTTTTTCTGGTTTTTCCAAGCTGGCTACATGGTATTTTAGGAGTAAATCGAGTCTGTGGCTGGGAGTTGGGGCGCTCTGCTGCTTCTCACAGTGCCACCATCTTCCCTCCTCGAAAAGTCTTTATTTCACCTTCAATTTTGAAAGATAGCTTTGCTGAATATAGGATTTTTGGTTTATTGACCATCTTTCTCTTTGAGCAATTTAAGTGTTATTCCACTGCCTTCTGGCCTCCACTGTTTTTGCCGAGTCAGCCATTATCTTATATGGGTTCCCTGTAAGTGGCAAGTCACTTTTTTTTTTTTTTTTGCCTGCTTTCAAGATTTCTTGTCTTTGAGTTTCAGTAGTTTTACTAGGATGTGTCTGTTAATGGATCTCTTCATGTTTATCCTACTTGGAGTTTATTGACCTTTCTGGGTGTATAGATTAGTGTTTTTCTATAAATTTTGGAAATTTTCTGCTATTATTTCTTCAAATATTTTTTTCTGCTCCCTTCTTTCTCTCCTCTTCTTGTGGTACTTCCATTAAGCATATGTTAGTATACTTAACAGTGTCCAACATTTTTCTGAGACTTCATTTTTCTTCATTCTTTTTCTTCTCTGTTCTTCAGACTAAGTAATCTTTATCAATCTGTCTTTACATTCACTAGAGTTTTTTTAAATTTTATTTTTGTTTAAAATATTACAGATGTCCCTTTTTCTCCCCAATGACATTCACTAGTTCTTTCTTCTGCCATTTCTAATCTACTGTTGAGCCCCTTTAGTGAAATTTTCATTTCAGTTATTATACCTTTCCAGAATTTCTATTTTTTTTTTTTTTAAATAATTTCTATCTTTTATTTGATATTCTTTATTTGATGTGACATTGTCATCATAATTTTTTACTTCTTCAGTCATGATTTACTTTAGGTCTTTGAAAATAAACATAATGGGTATTTTGAGTTTTTTTCTGCTAAATCTGAGCAGTTTCTGTTGACTGTTTTGTCCAGTGGGGTAATACTTTCCTGTTTCTTTGCATGTTTCATTGTGTTTGGAAACTGAACATTTTAGATAATATACAGTAGCAACTTTGGGTACTAACTCCCCCCTCACCACAGGGCTTGTTATTTGCCTTTTTATTTGTTTAGTGTCTGAATGGATTGCTTTAGTTGGTTCCTCTGATGTTCCTTCTCAGGGAAGCACAGCTTTGGGAATGCCCAGTCAATGGAATAACACTAGTTTGGCAGCTCTCTTAGTCTCTTTCCCTGACAACACCAAGGTGTTAAGCTCCACTAATTGCCAGTTGACTGTTGTTTTCAATAATGCCCTGGGAAATAAATTGCTCTAGATAATAATACAATCAAATTTAGGCTCCACGCACCTTGCTCTAGCCCATTTTCCATATGTCATATATAGCTACCCACAGGGCATTATTTCCAGCACACTTCAAAAAGTGTCAGGAAGCCAAGAAATTTTCACAGAACACTCCTGCAATATAAGGCCCAGAGGAGGGGGCCATTATCTACTCTCTGCAAAGTAGAGGGGACTAGTTTATTTGTTTTTTTTTGTTTTGTTTGATTTTTACTCTGCACCTGAGAATATTTTTTTCATTGCTTTTCAGAGAGAGTAGAAAGGAGAGAGGGGAGAGGGAAGGGGGGAAAGAGAGGGAGAGGGAGGGGGAGGGAGGGAGAGAGGAAAAGAGAGAGAGAGAGAGAAACATCAATGTAAGAGAGAGACATCAATTGGTTGCCTTCCACACAAGGGCTGGGGATCGAGCCTGAAACCAAGGTACATGCCCTTGGCCAGAATCAAACCTGGGACCCGTCAGTCAGTCTGCATGCCGATGCTCTAACCACTGAGCAAAATCGGCTAGGGCCAAAGGGGACTAGTTTAGATAATAAAATGAAGAATTTCTGATATTATTTGAAGTAACTGAGAATTGGCAGTTTATGAACTAAAATTATGTAATTATAGCATTTGGATTTTTGCTTCTTATTTTATTTTTTCAGGTTTTTATTTTGCATTTATTATTTATTTAATTAAAATGTTTTTTTATTGATTTTAGAGAGAGGAACATAGAGGGGGAGAGAGACAGAAACATCAATGATGAGAGTCATTGATACAGCGGCTGCCTCCTGCACATCCCCTATAGGGGATCGAGCCTGAAGCCCTGGCATGTGCCCTGAGAATCGAACTTTGATCTCCTGGTTGATGGGTCGATGCTCAACCATGAAGCCACACTGGCCATGCATATTTATTTATTTTTTTACTGATGGCATCAGGACTCCATTATATGACCCTCTTAATTGCTCTAGTTTTACTTTTTTTGCGCAATTTAAAACATTAATACCAATAAAAACTAACATGCTGGATAAAATAATTATTCTATTAATAATTCATCTAGAGACATTAAAAAAACCCAAATATTTTTCCTCTTCCTCTTTAGAAAAACCCATATACAAAACAACTGTTTCTTAAATACATATGTATAAATGTTTAACTGTACTTGTGTCACAAGGATTGAAACATATAAACAATAAGTAAATGCATGGCACAAAGAATGATGATAATTGAAACGATGAAAACCTAGTACCAATTCTGAAAAACAGAGATTTTTTAGCTCCAATATTTGTTTTTTTAAACTGAAAAAGATCCAACTCACGTTCCATGTGCTCAAACATTACTGAAAAGAGGAAGTCTCGTGGTGTCATGTAATATTCTCCTTCGTGTTCCAGTGAAGAAAACTGCATGAAGCGCTGTTTACGAAGAGACAACTTCCCCATCATCTTTCCACAGTCACCATTTTTCTAAAAGAAAAAAAAGGCCATGAAAGACTTTTTTCAGTATTATTCCCCAACTCCTTCTACAATAATCTTATAATTAATGAATAAATGTGTAAAGTAAGAGAGTGAGAAGTGCCAAGAAGAAATACAAAGTAAGACAAGAAACTGATAAGGAGTAATGTTTTAGACAGGACAGTCAGGGAAGGCCTTTTTAAAGAGTGGACATTAAGGAGACTAAGTGAGGTGCAGCTACTGAGGGGTGCGAGGGGAGGAGAGCATGCTAAGCAAGAGGTAAAGACAGGAATAAGCTTGGTATGTTCAAGGAATAGCGTGGCAGAAGATAAAGTCAGACAGGTAGGCCACAGATCACGTAAACGTGTGCTCCCATAAAGATAAAATACAGCATATCTGGTAAATAGCTCTGCTTTGAGAAATATATTTACATCGTGGGTAGCAAGTGCTAAAAGAACAAGAATGGGTAAAATATTGTTAGTGTAAGAGTCTCTAGCCCAGGCAAAGGGACCTAGATCTTGATCCAAATGCTGATAGAGACAATAATGAAATATTTCTTGCTAACCTTTGAGTCACACTTTACTAATTAATTAAGTACATGGATTAGTTAGTTAATCCTCACAATTACTGGACAAGAGATACTATGTTAGATACAAAAGCTATAAAGTAAATGGCAGAGTCAGGATAAAAAACCAGGCATGTCTGACTCAGTGTCTCAATCTCTTATCTAGCACACTATCCTACTCATGGCTAGGCATTATTTCCCAGGCAGACAGGATGAAGATGACATACTAGTTAACACAGATACCAAGGTCAATACAATAATCTTGACACAAAATGTGAGTGTTGGCTCTGGCTGCCATGGCTCGGTTGGAGTGTCGTCCCATACACTGAAAAACTGGGGGTTTGAATCCAGGTCAGGGCACATACTTAGGTTGCATGTTTGATCCCCAGTTGGAGTGTTTACAGGAAGGCAACCAATCAATGTTTCCCTCTCACATTGATGTCTGTCTGTCTGTCTCTTTTTCTCTAAAAAATCAATCAGCATGTCCTCAGGTGAGGATTAAAACAAAAGAATGTGAGTGTTATCTGTGAAATCCAACAGCACACTCTTACCCTAGATAGCTTTCCTTAAGGTGCTGCCCTAACTTGGACAATATCCTTCCTTGGACACATCACCCCCCTTTGATACTCACTACTGATTTGTTATTTACCCTGACATACAGGTGATGGTCAATGAGTGCTGACCAGAAATGAAATGGGGAAACATAGATTCCAGTTGCTCAAACCTCTCCAGGTTCAAAGGTCCTTTTTGGCTGATCTCTGTTCTCTCTATTGATTTGATAGTGACTTCCTTGAGCAGCTAGATTTATACCTCTTTTGTGTTTTGCGCAGTGCCTACCAAAATATTGGACATATATGCAACATTCAGTAATACTACAATGATCTGTACCCCTGACTTCTCTAGAACTTATCCATTCCTGTCTTTCGTATTCTTTCTCCTTAAATTACTAATTAAAATCACTTGAGGGGCATGTTTTAATTATATGAGTCTATACTCATCCTAGTAATCAGAAAACTGAATTTTATTAATATCTTCTCAACATTTTATACATGAGGCAGGTNCTGAACAAAAGTTAATAATTTGTGATTTCTATGCACCTGCCCAGGGGAAATCTTTTACTTTTTTCAACTATAGAAAAGGATCAGATGAAATAAGAAGGCAGACTCAAGAGGACTACTATTAATCTCTTACCTGATTCCCTCTTTCCCACGGGTCTTCCTAAAAGACATAGGAAATGAAATAATTAGACTTGAGGACGTCTTGAAGGAAGGCCGCCTTCTGTGGAGTCCTAGCAGAGGGCATTCCAAGAGAAGGTGCATTTCTTTATGTACCATTGAATATGTGCTTACATTTTCCCCGTGGCTATTTTTTTAAAGCCTCACCCGAGGATATGCTTTTATTGATTTTTTTTTTTTTAGAGAGAGAGGAAGGGGAGCGAGAAAGAAACATTGATGTAAGAAAGACATATCAATTGGTTGCCTCCTGCTTGAGCACTGACCAGGGCTGGAGATTGAGCCTGCAATGGAGCTATGTGCCCTTGACCAGAATCAAACCTGGGACCTTTCAGTCTGTGGGCCGATGCTCTAACCACTGAACCAAACCAGCTAGTGCTATTAGCATTTTATTTAACAAATCTATGTAAAGCATCTACAGGAAAACAGTAATAAACAAGATGAACATTAATTCCTACTAGAAAGTCCTAAGTGCTTTGGCAATAAATTTACAGAAAGTATATGATGATCTGGATAGGGAAGGAGGATGGGTAAGAATCTTCTCAGTAAATGTCATAGCACTGGCAAAGTCCTAGAGAGAGAGCACAGTATTTTAGAAGAGCTGAAAGAAGCTGAACATGGGCATAAACATTATTAGCTTAGAAAATATTTATATTATACAAATGTTTATAGTATCTCTTAATCTTCACAGATTAAGAGATTTACAAAAGTAAATAATCTATACAGAAATACAGTATATTTCCAAATCCTGAAACAAATGTAGGCTTTTATCTAAGTTGTTCATGCCTAGTTAAAAAAATGTTTTACCAAAAATTTAATCCTTTTTGTATAAATAAACAAATTCTTATTTCCAAACTTTAGCTAACTAATTTATCCTCCTCAACTGGTTTCATAACAAGTTGGTTAACAAACATTTAGTATGTTCTATGTATTATACACTATATTCTTACAATAAAGTAAGCTAGAGAAAAGAAAATCATAAATTTGTCTAAGTTTTTTCAAATTGTCACAAATCCCCCCAAATTTTCCAAAATATTTATTGAAAATAATTCATATATAAGTGGACCCATACAGTTCAAACCTGTGTTGTTCAAGGGTGAACTGTATACACAGTTTGGGCTTGTCATAAATATTATATGTCAAATACTATTAGACCACAAGATACAAATCTCTTCTTCCTTCCAATATTGTTAACATACACTTTTATAAGAACTTACCTCTAGTGTACTCTTCATGAAGTATAGAAATGGTCCCTGAAAATACAGTCTTTCTAGTGTACTCTTAGTCACACTGGGGTATCAATAACAGGAAAAGCATGTATACAAATAATAATTCAGTATGCTGACACATTAGGTTTGAGGATTTCAGGATGTAAAGAGAAATGTGACTATTATCTCCTAGGGCTAAATCAATTCCTTTCAAAAATAAAAAGCATCATAAGGCAACCATAATTTTGAGCAATTTATTTAGGGTATAAATTGCATTACAAATGTTGGTATATTAAGTCTAAAACCCTTGTAAGTACCAAGGACTGTTTCAAGAAAGAATATCTTGAGAGATATCTTTGAGAGAATATCAGCACTGGAGAAAGTTGGACTCTCCAAGTTCCAGGTATTATAGGATCTGCTGCATAAACCAAGTTTTCTTTTCCCCCCTTTGGATTTTTGGTTTTTACTCTCAGTCTGTATGATAATCCACTTTAAAATAAAATCTGGGAAGTTCTTTTCTCTACGCTAGTCCCCCCTGCCAAAAGGTATAATGTAATTTCCTGAGAGAGTTAACTCTTAAAATCACAGGTCATAAAAAATCCTACAAACTGATGAGAAAGCACTAGGAAAAAGTTCTTCAAAACTCCCTCTCACAAACAAAACACAAAACCAAAAAGAAGCACACACACACACATGCTGATGCTAGCTCCTAACCTCCCACTTTAAACTTGTTCTAAGAAGGACCTTCTGGATACAGATAATTTGGACCAAACTAAGACAACACTAGGACTGACAACCAGTTTCTTCTGCCATGTACTAGAATGAGGATGAAATCTGAATGACTTCGTTGATTAGAACTCTAAGGAGCAACCTTCACGCTGTGGTCACCACACAACTGTCTAGCAAATGGCAGTACAGTACACTGAGGAAGGGGTATCTTTTCCTAATTTGCACCAAGGTTCCATATGTGCTGGAGTAATGCTATCACTGGTATCTCCCAATCTGCAAGGATGGTGCAGGCAGAGAAAAGTACAGAAAGTGCCAATTGGAAGCTCCCATCACATGCTGCATTCACTATAGGCCCAATACCTGCCATTTTTCCCACCTATGTCTGCTCAAAGGTGGGACCAGTATTGGCAAGTTATGGTTTGGCTGGGCAGAGAAATATAGTCAAATCTTGGTTCTCAAACGTCTCCTGTCTTGAACATTTTGATTCTCGACTAAGCTGTTCAAGGAAAAAATGTCTTGGTTGTCTACCAAAACTTTGGTTCTTGACCCGACAACCCTTTCATGCTGATATCTATATGATCAGTCACGTGTCTCTCAGGTGACAGACAAAGGAGAGAATGTGTGAGTATCAAACCTTGTGTTGTTAACATCTCAGAAAATTGTGCTGTGCATATCTTTGTGTTTTTTTGCTTTTGTTGCTGCTTATTATTATTAAATACGTACAGGAAGTCACCATGGGTCCTAAGGAGGTTAGTGATAGCAGCAAAGTGAAATGGAAAGTTGTGAGAACAATAGAGTTTTAAATATAAATAATTGCAAAGTATGATAGGGGTGTTTGTGTGCCTGATCTGGCTAGCAAGTATGGCATGGTGAATTCAATGATTAGCATAATTTTAAAACATAAAGAGGCCATCAAGACTGCTGATGTTGCCCAGCCAGGTGTGGCTCAGTGGTTGAATGTTGATCTATGATCCAGGAGATCGGGGTTCTATTCCTGGTCAAGGCACATGCCTGGGTTGCGGGCTCGATCTCCAGTCAGGGGTGTGCAGGAGACAGCTGATCAATGACGACTCTCTCATCATTGATGTTTCTCTCCCTCTCCTTTCTTCTCTTTGAAATCAATAAAGATATATTTAAAAAAAAAACCAAAACCCTGCTGATGTTGCTAAGGGTATGAAAATGCTTGGGAGTCTGGAACGGATTCAATTTACATTTTTTTCTGATGGAAAAAAAATGATTTATTTTCAAACAAATCGCTTCTTGAACAGTCTCCTGGAA